TGTCGAAGCACTGGGATTGTGCTGTGCCTCTTCTCTAACCCCGGTACAAAAAGCTGGATCATGAAAATTGAATATCCAGTGCTCTATCCCAGCACATACAACATCTACCACAGTGATACCGACGCTTGGATAGAAGCGTCGGTATCGACAAGCTCAATGTAGCTAAAACAAGTGTGGAACGCTTTAGAATTCAATTGTGCGCACATACACAGCTAAGAAGATAGCACGTCAATTACTCTAGCAAATGTAAAACCTTTTTCTACAGCGGCCTCCACAGATAAAAAAAAAACCAACAAAAAAAACAAGAATCAAGGAGGCTGTGAAAAGTCTTGACGTACGTCGCGCAACCTGTGATCTGAAGCTCGAGGCTTGTTTTAGAACATTTTGAAGATTTTCTAATATAAAAAGCAACTTAGAGGCATTGTTATTCATTAGAGAGATCACTCACAAAAACATTATACGCATTTCTTTAATAAATAAACAGTCTTAAATCGGCATAGATTTGAACTAACATAGACACTCCGTGCTTTGACATGGCGCGTCGTCTGCTCACATCCTACCATCTGCGTCATAGGAGGGCGTCTGCAAGGTGGCGCCACCAAACGATCTCGTCGCCAATAGTAGAGGACGGTGATTTTAGTTGCACCGTCCCGTGTTTCGTACCCAGGAAGTTGCGAGGATGCCTCGCAGTGTTTATGATTCTGGGGGTTTATTCCCGTTTTCGATAGATTTGTGTTCGACAGTGTGCGCAAAGAACACCATGGAATATCCGAGCTTCTTTCAACACAGCAAATCTTTTGTCTTTCTCCGGAACGAAGTTACAGTAAAACTTCGTTAATTCGGATCTCATAGACCGGCAAACATGTCTGAATTATGCAGAAATATTGAAAGGACAAAGAAAACTGCGCGAAAATGTTTCCCTGTGACATACCTTTATTTTGAGAAGAAATCTGTTATTGCCGCCTGCTTTCTGGACGACATTTAGGCGGAGATGACAACTTTCCTTAGCGCGGTCTGGTGCTCCACCACACTCGCGCTGTCGAAGCTATGCATCCTGTGCGCTGACGATTTACCACAGCAAGGCCTCTTCTAGTTTCGGGTAGACCACCTTCCACAGCCGCTTTTTTTTTCGCATTGAACTTCTCACTCTCGAAAGCCTGTAGGATCTCGGTCTCAATTCCCTCACTTGTTGTCGAAAGACGCCGTCCTTCAAAGCCTTGAGTATTTTCACTTTCGTCGCTAAATTCTTGGCTTGGTACAGCTGCAACGGAAAAAGAGTAGCACAAGCGACCGATGACCGGAATGGCAAAATCGCGACACGCGATTTTGCCATTTCCCGAGCGCGCCGAGAGTGGAGTGCCAGTTACGTTGCATGTTTCAACGAGGGGGTGACCGGCAAAAAATTGAGGGATAAGATAGTTGTTAAAATGCGGGCTTTAGGATGGGCTGCTTTCTACCAGCCACCCCGTGTCCAGGTATGAAAAGTGACTGTCATGCTCGCTATCGGCGCTCTCGCTATTGCCGCTCTGGTCGTCGGTCACTTGTGCTACTCTTTTTCCGTTGCAGCTGCACTTCTGTCGCTTCCATGCCAGGAGACTAGCGCGCTGACGCACGACAATCCAGAGCAAAACTGGTGCGAAACATGGAGAACCGGAAGAGCGAAGGACCACGGGAAAACTGGAAAAAACCATGTGTGCACCTCAAATGAATAGCCGTCATAGCCTTTGAAACTGACGGTAGCTTGCGCCACCCGGCAAATTCGTCCGAATTAACCATAGCGTGCCACATTCCCTTCGAATAAATGAGCGTTTGGTGCCATTGACTAATACACACTTTTGACGGGACCGGGTCGGCAGTTCGAATTATCCAAATTTCTGAATTAGCGGGGGTTGAATTAACGAGGTTTTACTGTATCTCACGATAGGCAGACGGAAATAGATGTGGCACCAAAAGCGCTGCCGTCAAGATGGAATCTCGTGAAATTCATCTTGCTGCAGCGAACCATCTCAAGATATTGCAAGCTGTGAGGAGGAAGCCTCAGCAGCAAGGAGGAAATGCAGTGCAAAGTCAGATTTGGGGGCTTTATGCGCCCAACCAACAAAGGGTATCTGGTGCACCCCAGTGGAGGGATGGGAGATTAATTTCGGCTACCTGGGGATCTTCTGACGCGCAAGCGTAATCTCCGCGATAACTCAGTCAGATTGCAGTTACCTCAGCCAGGATTCGAAACTGCCACCTGGAGATCTGTAGGCTGGCACTTTGCCTCGAAGCTACCCAGGCGGCTTAGAATCCGGTGAAATGCAGACAAGAAACCACAATCTATAAATGGAGTGTTTCTTCAGAACACCTTAAAATGCTCGACATGCTTTATATCTTACTAAAATGAGATGATTTAGTGTTTTTCAATGATGCCCAGAAATATTTTAACTGAATTACATCAAATCTTCTAATTAGATACTTAATTACTCGAAAGTAACTATTAAACTAATTATGGCTAACACTATCAACACCTTCGCATCTGCCATGTCGTTGGTCTCGAGTGCACGATATTCCTCGCCCCATTTCTATGGGACTGATAGCACCCGTGGTGCCAAAGAAAAAGCTTGTAACTTTTGAAGCATAATTTATATTTCAAATTGATCCTGAATAGTGTGCGCATACAATGCACCTAAAGAGTTTCGCAAATATAGAACTACATAAACCGCAAGAGCGTGTAAATATTGATTGCAGATTCCTTGCACTCCACTGGTGCTCGCTCCTTGTACCTCAAACTTTGCCGATGTGGCATTGCCTGAACGAATTCTGCTTCATATTATGTCAGGAGTTTTCCGAAGAAAATGAGACCGTTTACGAGCCTCTCGAACCATCGACAGCATACCCGTGCTCGTAATTGTGCCTAGTTTGTGTCTAGGAAGGACTGCCACTTCGAGAAACTACTCGACGAGTTCGACTTTCAAGCCCTTGTAACTGACTGTTTATGCTGGCGATTGGTTACCTGCAGTGTATATCGCCATTGTAAATGGCTATATCTACCACACAGATCTTCTTAATCATTTGGCATATACTGGGAAAGAAGTGAACTGCCGCAGAGCACTCAAAACTGGCGGTGCAGGCGGTGCCAAGCTATCAATTGCGGTTTCGTACACCTCGCCTTCCTTACGCTGTCACAACCACTGCCATTGACGTTTATGATGCTAACTGAATCGGCAGGGTTAGCATCTTCGTCGCTGTCATATATATACACAAGATCAGTCCTTTAACCACTGGAGAGATTCCAACTCTTGCTGGACGCCATGTTCTTGTTGAAAAAAACGACAACCACTAACCTTTTTTGTTTTGACCTCTACATGCACAAAAAATATAGAACATGAAATACCATCTGGTGTCGTAAGAACTAACCAAAACACAAGTGGTGTAATAGCGTCGCCATCTATCAACATATATATTGAAAAAAAAAAGTTTTAATGGAGACAGGCAAAGTGCCAACTTTGTGCACTTTGGCCTTTGCCGTGGCTGCCAGCGAATCACCGGCGTTGGTAGTAGGTTTAGTTTCGCAGACAGGCCCTTTGGCAGAAACCACTACGCTATTAAATTTTCTTCTGTATGATGCATACTTTTTGCCGGAATGATTTGGCGTTGTTTCAAGAAAAACCCTGTATGGTCGGTGACGGGTTAACAGTGCAGTAGGAGCTCTGCCTCCAGAGTGGACTTTCTGTTTTTGATAACACTTCGGCACATGCGCAGCCAATCTGCGACACAACGCAACAGCATGTGTTGAAGACGGAGCTTCTGCTAAATTATTCGCCTGTCACTGATCCGGAATAGAGTGAAAGGAACACTAACACCCCCAAAAATGTTTTTTTTTATTTTTGGCCAGACGATTTAAACTGGAGTCAGGAGACTACCCGATCAATATTTTTCTGCAAAGCCACGCATGTTTTTAATGAAGCCAAAAAACTGAACAGCGCAAAACCAAAACAAGAGTACGGAAGCTCACGGCTGGAAATCATGTGGCTACGCCCGATTGCTTTTTTCTTTTCTTTTTTTTTCTCCTTTTATCCAGCAGGGGAAGCAGACGACGACGAATTTCTGTGCACCGTCTGTCGTATGCTTGTTTCGCACTTATATCCCTTCCACTCAATGTTTCGAGCAGAAGATCGTTTGACTGGTACCAAGAATGACAGTTACGAAGCAGCTGCCCCATGTTTGTCACAACGTTGGTTCGTCGCACGCCGCCATCACGTTGTCCAGCCCGCGGTACACTACCACATTGAGAATGACATGCACACATACCTCCTGTCATCTGTGCAACATTTATATTTTTTGATCAACGAATTTGCAGCTTTTTGGAGGCCGAAAAAATAAGGTTCACATTTTTTTTTACTTTTAACATTAAATGTGTGCCTTAGATGACCCACAACTTTCAACATATTTGGTACACATAATTCGAATGCCAAGTGACTACGAGAAAGAAAGTGAGCGCGTCTGAAGCTGGCCAATTCACGACCGGCCGTTTTCTGGCAGAAAGGAAACGGATTTCGAGCCGCAAATTATGTTCCGGCTAGCTGGACTTTTACGGGTAATGTACAAATCAAAACCTCGGCGAGCATAAATACCCTGCCGGTGTCCCTTTAACGCCGAGTGTCGAGCCATGGTGTTGCATAAGATTGCCTCATGTGACCGGTTTGCGTGATGTATCCTGACCTGATGTCATGGGACGTGGTCATCCGATGCAATGTCACGCAACACCCAGGCATCATATGCTACCATATGACACAGTCACTTACCATGATCTGGCGTGGCCTGGTACGCTCCACGTAGTTACATGACATAGTTATGTTGCAATATGACCCATAGTAGCATTCCACCGAATCTAGTGAGAGGATAGTTTGCTAAATTTAGCCAATGGTGGCATGGTTCGATTTGGCTACAGCGATGTGGTGCAAATCCTAGCGTCGCTTTTGTTGAGGTGCATCGTGCATAACCATAGCGCTGCTTACCACAGAGAGGGTCTTCTTGTCCTGAGTGAGCAGGACAGCCTTGCCCGTCCTGGGACGGGCCACGCGTCCCAGTTCTGCCAGAAGCTTTGGGTACAGGGTCCTGTTGTCTGGCCGCGAGCCCATGCGCTTCCCGAAAGGCTATCCGGAGACGGCCGTCGGAACGAGAGGAAAAAAAAAAAAAAGAGAACGGAAAGCAAGCGCTAAGATCAGAGCTGCAGAAGGTACTCGTGAAATAAACCCACTGTTACGTGCTTATGATTCGTTAAAGTCACAGTTGCTAAAATTGTAACCAAGTTACATTGCGGCCAATCCTAATATATTGCTCAAAGAATAGTCGTAGCTGCTACGATTTACAGATGCACCATTTAATTTCCAAAAATGTCAGCATTCAGACCAGTTCTATTTGACACTCTACTAGCAACAGGTGTTGAGGTAGTGGTGTCGGCTGCACAACTGCAAACTGCCAAGAACAGCGGCGCCTAAATGCAATGCGCACATCAAAAATTTTGGGAGGTGACAGCAACTAAGCCAAGCTAAAAAGCGTAACCAAGTTAGTTTCAGTTAAAAGCATTTTATTGTAACATTAAAAGTGTTTGGCTACAAAAGATGTAACTACTAAGTACACTAACTTAAATATTTGCTATCAATTACTTTCAGTTACCACTAGTCATGTCACGTGACCTATACAACCATTCAGTTTCCCCGCTAAACTTAGCGGGAAAAATATATGTCACGTGACAAATCAATCCCCTCACCCGAACCCTCTCCTTTCCTCCCCCCTCCCCAATTCCCCCTCGTAGCAACACCTCCTAGATAACCTTATGTGATGTTTCTCCCAGGGTGCCTCGCAGCATTTCACGTGTTATAGTACTTTCAAGGAAAAGGTCACTGCCAGATATTTCTTAGCGTGTCTTTTCTTATTTTGACACGACGGCATGTCAACACGCGTCGAGCCAGAGAAGTTTTTGGGAGCTATACACCATGCCGGTCCAACCTCCTTCTGCTGAGAGCGACGTCAGCCTTGAATTGCGATTGTCTACGAGCCCGGCAGTTTGTACTATCGATCGTAAAAGATTGGTCCAGAAGTGGTCATCCAGACTCAGTCCAACAGAGCGGTGCCTGCACGGTTCCACTCCCTGTGTGAACGGACATTCACGCAGCTCTCGCCGAGAACGCATCTTCTCGGATGTCAGCTCTGTCCTGTATCCCCGAGGCCACGATGAAACGCAGCGATAACTTGTTTTCATGAGCGCCACTTTGCGGACGAGCCAGGCAGGCCGTCTCCTTCTAGCAAGGACCATAGATGTATTGATTCGTAGAAATCGAGTTTGTAGTAGTCAACCAAGGCAGTCATCCCGGCCTCGGTAACGCTGGGTATTTGGGCTCGTTTAAATCGCAGCAGTGCCCACAATTGACTGCACGAATAAGATTCCTAAACAAGCGTTGCCAGAAAGGCCGCCAGCGTTTGTTGTGATCCAAAATTGAGGAGCTTCGAACCATGCCGCCAAACTTTCCGACTGGTTGCTCGTGCTGCCGAAAACACTGTCCCCATGGCATCGGCCTGCTCTCATGGAGATCGGGGACTTGTGGGAAACCAGAAGTTCTTGTTTTCCCCTACTAGAACGTCGATTTCTTCCTTGCGCTTAAGCAAGTGCTTGTGAATACTGACTTTTCCTCTTATGATGTGCTTAACTTACAAACTTCTTGGCTACATTGTCGTAGCCTAAGATGCTCTTTGCAAATCAGGCCCCCGAATGCCGACGCTCAGTTTAGCACATTTTAATGCCTAAAACAAATTTTTAATTGGAATGCTTCAGCTAAGGCGAACATAGTTAAGTTATTTATAGTGAAGTTGAAGTATGGTGATGTCTCGTTAATATGAATACACAGCTATATTGACAGTATTTCTGGGAGCGAACTGTGTAAACAAACATTTTTCTCGCGTTGTTATGGAACCTTCACATTATGAACAATCTTTGGGGGCAACAGAGGAGTTCATATTAATGAGGAATGACAGAAATTAGTTTGCTAATTATCACTTTGCCTACTTTGTCCAGCGTCCCCTGCAGTCGATAACGCTAGCCCGAAGGAGTCAATTCTCCATTTAAAGTGCCTTCATTTCTAGAAGTTAATCCAAATATGCGAAAGACCTTGTAGAGTTAGCGAAAGCGAGTACTACTTGTGTCATCGTAACTTTTAGAAATTTCCTGAACTACCATTTCTCTAATCGTTTCACGGGGACGACATTTCACGCTCGAGGGTCGACTCACGAGGTCCGTCACGAAGATGTCCACCGAGCCGTTGCGGAGCGGCAGCCGGTTGACGTCCCAGCGGAGCAGGTCAGCTGGGAGGTTGCCCCTGGACGCGGAGAGAATGCCACTCAGAAACCCTGTATGGTTACGTGATTTGGGACCCACCCAGTTCGACGAACACATCGAAAACTAGTCACTGGGCAAAACACCCAACGTTTGATTTCGGAAACTTCCAAACTGACGAAACTTCAGCAGTTTTAGTGTTTCAGGAGGGTTTGCATTGGCATCACTATGCCGTTTGTTGTTCCCGATTCTGCAGCGATGGACTTGCATGATTAGAGCGTAAACATTAAATTTTCTGAGAACTGCAAAAGAAGTCAATCTCATCAGTCATAGCACTTCTAAAGAATCTCAAAGCAGTCAGTTGCCAGTGGGGAGGTTTGTAGTGGTACAGACTGTGCTTGATTGCATTTGTAAAAATCCTTCGTTATACAGGTCACTCCATACCTAACACCCCCCTGCCCCTCGGCTAGCCTCGACAGTGGAAGCCGAATGTGCTGCTGACTGAGCTATGAAACCAGCATACAGGCATGGAAGGAGCACAAGCAGGTGGTGTGAAAAAGAGTGGAGCGGAGAGAGGTGGAAAGGGCGAGAAAGAAAGGAGCAAAAACAGGTTGTGCAGAAAGAGCATGCAGAAAGTGACAGCAGTATGAAAGCGTTTAACTACAATGTTATTCAAGTCACTGAATGAATCGTGGCCCAATCGAATAAGTGCTAGGTGCATTCATTCGACGTCCCTTACGTTTTCTCGTCGCTGGCGGTTCGCTTGTCGTTCAGGGCCACCAGATTAGCCGAAGTCCTCTGCACAGCCAGCTCGTGGTTGTCGCCACACAGTGTGATTGTGTCTGGCCAGTTGATGGCTGCCTGGGGAACATATGCCAAAGTGCATACTGTACAAGCAAGAATTTTTTTTTTTTTTCGCATTTTTTATTAATATTTGGTTGGTGTTCTGAAGTGTTTGCACAAAAATGTTTGCATTTGTTATAAAACTTGCCTCAATATCTCCCGTAAAGCAGGCTGACGCAGAATGCTTTGTGTGTTTGTGTTGACCTATTTCATACTGTTTTGCCTTTTCTGCACGTTTGGCCTTAAGGCTAATCTGTTGCGGATGCCAACACAAACACATGGCACATTCTGCATCAATATGGTGAGAAACAGAGAGAGGGAAGAAAATGAGAGCATGCAGGGACCTCGAAGTGCCAAGCTCCAATTGGAACGATTAGTGAGTGGACGCAAAGGCTAGCTGCCTTTGTCCCTACTCACCATCCGAGAGCATTCGAATGGTGATAAGAGGCTGGGGCAGCTCGCCCTGCATCTACCCATTAATTTAGCTGACCTTCCGAACATTCCCATTAGGGCTTGGAGCGTCGACGTCCCCGTATGCTCTCGTTTTCTCCTTTCCCTCGGTTTCTCACCATGTCAGTTTTATGCTCAGTATCGAGCTAAGCTATAATTTTTGCGACTAATCTACGACAAGCTGCCACAGCTGCTTCCAAGTGCAACTGTGGTGGCTTGTTACCTCCTACGTCAGGCGGCGTGACCTTTGACGTCGGATGGGGTAATCTCTTACGTCATTGGTGACGACGGGACATGCGGTCACGTGGTATGTGTGACATGGTTCAGATGGGTTGTGCGCCCATGGCTCATGTGACCACATGAAACAATGTCACGTGACACCATGACACCACATCCTCCGAGTCATGTAATTATTGTAAGGGTGTGCAAATTTTCGAAACTTCAAATACTTTGCGAATAATGCTCGCTATTCGATTCAATTTGCACTTTCGCTGCTCAAAAGTATTTGAGTTCTTCGAAAACTATGAATAACGCGGAACTCGCCGATTAGTATCAACTCGCAGTCGAGTTCCCTCTTTTGTTTTTGGTATGGTTTCGAGCTTGGCAAACCCAAAAAAACCAACCTAAATGCCCTTTTCTTTTTTTTGTATGAAGCACTGGAAAGTTATTTGCACGCAGTAGTGTGATCCGTCCTTTTCTTGCCATGATGTCTGGATTGCGGAGTGAGCGAAGTGGTCGTGGTGAAAACGCTGCTATAGATTTGATGAATGACTATAATCTGCTACGGCATGTGCATTGTCGTGGGCACAAATGCGACGGACCACTCACTGCAGTCCTTCCTACAGTCACTACAGTAGCGAAGGTGCTATGGATTCGGATATGGATTTACGGATGACCTCGGCTATTGGCGATATGTGGCTTGTGTTATTTTCCGCTTGAATTTCCGTTTCATCAGTTTGCCAGAATTCCTTTTGTTATTTATTTCTACCCATCTTCACTGGTAAAAGTGAGAGTTGCTCCCCCCGCCAAAACAAAACAACATATTCTTAATTTATTGCTTCCTTGTGGCATCCTCTACTGACAGAAAAATTGCACATGGAAAGAGATGGCGCAGAGTCAGTGCGGCTGCGTGGCGCAATCGCACGATCCCCAACTCTGCTGTGGCCTGCCGACCCGCCTCCACTTGTGTACTTCCGTTTATGTTCACGTGGTTGCGTTCACCCATGTAAAAAGAGGTTTCACAAAGCCAGTGCAGCTGCGCAACCCAATCTCCGACTTTGTGTTGTAGCTTGCCAGCCCGCCTCCATTTGTGCTTTTTTATTTACGTTCTGTAACTTCACTTCTTGAATGGTGTTTCACTGACATCTTTTTTTTTCATCTGTTTTTCATCAGTCCCATGTGTGACATTTTTCTTATAGCAATAAAAACAACCTCCTAAATGTTTGTTGAAAAAAAAAAAATTTCCAGTTGTGTTTTGATTGAGCATTCTTGTTTATTTCACATCAAATAAAAAATATTCATTTTCAAAATGTCCTTTTTCAAAGCTACTACAGTAAAATATTGGTAAACCGAAATCGCTTAAACGGAATTGTTGCTTAAACAAAACAACTACCTTGGAGCTGTTTGGTTTTGTATTCATGCGATGTAAAAATATTCCCGTTAATCAGAACTCAAATTTTTGTACCTCTGGGTAAACGGAACTGCAAAGGAAACTATGTCGCCAACAGATATTTTTCGGTATCGCAGAAAAGAACAAGAACTCTGCATAATAAAGCAGTATGAAAAATGTTTTGAATATTTCTTAGTTTTAATGCCCCAAAATTAGCATGGACGCATCTTTTCTTGGTTTCTTTTTTTTTTTTTTTTCTCCTTTTTTACGCCTAGCTGGCTGTGTTGGGTAGGCTAGGCTCAACGGAACTTCCACTGTCATCTTAAGCCTAGTGGCCTAGCTTCTGCGATGGCACCAAAGCGACAACACCATGTACTCATGTTAGAAAAAAGGGTCGAAATCATTAACGATTTTGATAGCAGTTGCTTCACGAAAACGGCATTTGCAACTAAGTACTATACCATTCCCGAAAGTAGCCTGACAAGGATTCTTCACACAAGGAGAGATAAGAAGAAGTTGCTAGATCTGAACATGAATATTAGTTCAACTTTTTTACACAGAATGTGTGAATATACAAACGCAGCAATTTGGTGTCTTTCTAATTATTTTGCCTTCTACATTCACTATCTGATGTTTACAAATTGTGTACTTGTAGAAACAACATTTGAGATGGCATTTAACATTTTTAGTGTACCTACACTCGATACTCTCAGTAAATGAAACTCCTGATAGATGGAACAGATTTTCCTGGTCCCTTCCAGTTCAGTTAGTTTAATGAGACTGTTCTGTATTAATATCTATTTGATTCGCAACGTTTATTATTCCATTCGATTCGCTTCGAACGATTTTGATATTCGCACACCTCTAGATTATAAATGATATGACCACACAGCCTACTACTATAGAGATTATGTCATCATTTAAGCACTCCCACATTGGGGTGACAAAGTGCTTGCAGCAAGATGAGTACATAACAGCTGCAACAACACGCATCCTTCTGTGTGCGCAAGGGTACAACATCAGTTTATGGAGCTAGAGGTGCAGCGTTTGATCCCTGGCAGGGAACAGTCTTTTTCGTAAAGACACCTGGTTCGTGTTATACCTCTGTAAAAACCTTTTCTGACGGTCCAGACCTGTAATCTGGCCGAAAATGCATTGTGTGTTAAACAAAACCGAAAACAATGAACGAAAGGTGACTCTAATAATGCGGGATATAAGCGAACATTGCTGACAAGGAAGCGGTCATCTTTGCTTCATTGTCCCTCGCCGCGATGAGTTTGGCAGGAAAACATGATCTAAAAACGTCATATTTTAGAACTTTTTTTCACCGTACACCGAAAGTTTGCCCACTCCTTATTTTCACCCAATCTTCTCTCGATTTTAGGTGGGCTACATCTCGGGATACTGCGGTACACCGAATCCAATCAATCCAGGTAAGAAAAGGGCAAAAATAGCGAAGGAAACTTTATGGGATGCCGTGGAGAACTACAGACGGCGACGGGCTAAGAAGACAGCAGGCGCTCCGCCTCCAGAGAGAGCTTTCTGCCTTTGGCAATGCTTCGGCGCACATGCAGACATTCTTGATTTCAGCTTAAGTCTGGACGCAGCAAATGCTATGAGGTTACGGACCAATCGAGCAGCATCAAAAGTGCAACTCGCTAGACCTTTTCTGTCTACAATTGGTTCAGTGATGAAGGAACACATACAGAAACATGCGAAGCTCCACGATGGTCTACTTTTGACACCGTCTGATTGGTCCCACCAGCTCGTAGCGTCGGCCGCGTATGGACTTGAGGAACGAAGTACGAAGACCGGTGCAGGGCAACAAGCGAGCGCTGGAGGTGGAGCTTGTACTGAACTTTCAGCCTGTCGCCAACCGACCATAGGGACGCCGGGTGTCAAGCCATGGCAGCATACAAGATCACTTTACAAGACCGGGTCGTGTGACGTCGCAGCGACACCGTGGCGTCACGTCACCTCGCATGACCTGGTGGTCATCACGCGGTTATGCGACCCATAGTGGCTCGTGCCACGCGATCACGTGCCATGCGTGACTTCCGCCGCATTTTTAGCCTGTAGCGGACCGTAGACGCGGATGGGACACAGACTTGTACGTCTTGGGGGCTGTCCCACGGACCAAGGAAGGGCGTGTGGAACGTCCCGGCAAAGGGCTGAGAGAACTGTCACTCCCAAACCGTCTCGGGAACGACAATGCCTGATTGGGGCCTGTTACGTGGTGGCACAACTAAGCCGGTGCCAGATCACAGGCACCTCGACATTGATTCAAAAACCGGCAGATTCGCATACCTCGATGGGAATGGACCCTCCGCCACACATGGGGTCGCAGACGACGTCCCCAGGCCGCAGGTCGCATAGCCTGCACAGATGGAAAGGTATGGTCAAACTTCTGTCAGAAACTCGCCACTATGCAAGTTAAGCCAGCCATAAAACAATTTTTCTGCTTTCGCTAAATATAACCCAAATACTAAATATATCTTAGGATTCATATAATATTTTCCTTCTTAAATACTGTATGCCTGTAGGCCAATAAATCTGCTATCAGCTGGTACCACATTTGTTTAATTTATTTTCACAAAATACATTATTGCTTCTAAAATCCTGTAAAGAAACTAGATAAACTTGACCATAATTGAAACCTACTTCCTTTTAAAAAAGGCATTTCTTCATCTTTCTTTACTTTTTTTTCTCACACACATTAACTTTTTGTTGGCATAATCAATATTCCCCCCTCTTTTGTAGCATTTTCCGTATAAGTGCTCAAACAGATATACATGCACCCGCAACGACAAAAAGATAGTTTTGAAAGTTGGCTTCACTGCAAGATTTTTAAACCTTGAAATGCTAAGGGCAGGGGGTCTTAAAACCTCATTCACACAGCCGTTTTTTCCCTCGGCCCGGTGAAGCCGCCGGCCGTCTTTTCCGCTGGGGGAGAGGGTGTTGGAACTGGTTTCCGACCGAAATCGGAGCGCCGGACCCGAAATGGGCCCAACGAGGATGTTCAACGTCCCCGGCACCGGCGAGAGACCGGGAACGCCGACGCCCCGCTCATCGAGGGACGGCCAATCACAAAATAGGAAACTTTTGCTGAATCTGGCGGATTCTCAAAAGTTGGGTGACCACGGGCACGGCCGCAGGAGGGAGAATTGACCGCACTGTGCCCTAACACCCTAACGACAAAGCCAACAAAGCTCTTTTCGGGAAGAAGGAGGGAGGCCAGCGAGATGACGGGTGCATTGTGTGATGTTTACGGCTCTTGAACAACGAGCACCGAGATATTTCGATTTACCGCTGAGCTGCAGCTCGAAATGGTGAGACCACATCGGTTCCTTTGCGATAGATGTAAATGCGATTTTAAGGAAGAACAGCCAAAGAAAGAAAATATGGTCGGCGATCATCGGGGACGAAATGCGGCATAAGGAGTGATTGATGTGAAACGTGCTCGCGGTCGGTCTTGTTTTTGTTGCAAAACGTGGAGACAAATAAAATGTTTTGAAACATGCAAGATCGTTATCGGCAACCCAAAAGGAAGCTCCGAGGAACAAAACAGTTGCGGCTGCGCCCTTCGACGCCGATCGTCCGCTACATTTGGTGGTCGACGCCGCCACAAAGCAGCCACAAATGCGGGATTACAAGATTGGTAGTAGAGATCAAGGGAAGTGTGAAATTGCGCAAAGAATAACAGGTTATACCGGTTATACAGTTTTACAAGATACAAACGTTCGACGCACAATTTGAAAGGTGCAGAAAGATTTCTAAGCTAGGTGGCGCAAGCTACCACCCAATATAAGGGGGCACAGCCGCCAGCATCCATCTATTTACATAGCCACCGCCGGGAGCTCCGTCGCCGCTGGTTCGAAGACTCCTCCATCCCCGCAACGTCCCTGTTTCGGCACGGCGCCCACGGCGCTTTCGCCGAGACGGGGCGGGGCGAGACGCTGGCTGTGTGAATGAGGCCTTAATGTTTGGGACTTGAAGGGGCGATGGAAAGTGGTGGTGCAGAAGGGAAAGCGGAGAGAGTTGTGTGGAGGACACAGCCAAAAGGCTGTTTGTGAGTCGGGGAGGACACAGCCAATAAGGAACTTTGTGAGTCGACAAAAATTACAGCTTTCATTATACTATTGTCGAGTATATGTTGAACCGCTAGTAAAATAGCATAAAGCTCTGCGGTGAAAATGGTTGCTCTACAGTCAACTTGAATGGCTTTGCTGTAGGAGGCGGAATACAGAGCACACCATACAAAAGACGACAATTTGGACCCATCTGTATGGAACTCCAGGTAGTCAACATATTTTTGTTGCAAGGAGAGGAACTCCTGACGGAGGATTTTTGGTGAAATGACCCTCTTACTGTATTTTGCGAGTGACCAGTCACAGAAAATCGGCAGAGCATCCCAGGGAGCAACCCTATGAGTGTTTTTAAGCAAGGGAATCTCATGGAGGGGGATATTACAGTGATGTGATTGGCCTAAGCCATTTTGGAGCACCTTTTGGAGCAGCCAGAACAGTGTTTTGGAGCAGAAAAGGTGGCTTTTGGAGCAGCCCAAACGGTGTTTCGAAGCAGCAAAAGTTACTTTTAAAGCAGATATTCTTAAAAAAAAAAAAAATGTTTTATTGCTGGACAAACGAAGGGAACTTTGTGGCGTGTTGTGACAGAACTCGCTGTTTGTGTTACTGCTAAGACATCCCACAAGTGTAAAGTGTTATAGGCGTTGTCGAGCAATCCCGAAAAGAACGCTTGCCACCGTTTTACTGGTTCCCGACGTGCCAGATTTTTGTCAAAAGTAAGTAAACGCAAAACAATGAATTGCAAGCGTCCCGGCTGGCGCCTCTGTCATGCAGTCATGTTCACATGCACGTGAGGGCAACTTCAGCAGGCTTGCAGTGGCACGTGCTTCGTTACGCGAGCGGAGACAACGGCTGCTCAATCGAAACCGAAACAATGCCACTCCCCTCCGTCGCCAAATGGTTTCCAAAATAGTGTGCAAAATGTAACTGTTCAGCATACAAACAAAAAAAAAAAAAAAAGCAGTCGAGCAGCCTGTGCTTGGTAGGCCGCCAGGCGATGTACACGCTAAACACAAAGAAAAAAAGAACCTGAGTGCATTGATGCATGACATCGCGAGCCAGGGTCAAAAAGTTCTTGGAGCGCTTTGTGCAACGACCAAACTCGAGGCAAACAAGCACGCTGTGCGGGTTAAACGTGCAGACATTGCCTTATTTGCTTCAGCAAATAAGGCAATGTCTGCACGTTTAACCCGCACCGATTTCTCTTCACCGATTTCTTTTCGCGGCAGATTTTTCACGTACCGGGCTCCCGCTCGAAAGGAAGTCCAGCGAGAGAAACCTAGGTAATCAATATTTCGAGAAGCAGTCTTTGAGCTAGAGGATTTTTCGTAGTAGGGTATGATTTAAAGAAGGCCGAGAATGTCGATGAACAAGTTTAGAAAGTTAGAAAGTTAGAAAGCGCCATATCTGCAGCGACGTGGGGACGGCAACACCTGACGTCGCGCCACCACGGTGACTGTGCTCGCGGGAGCGTTTCAGTAAATACTTGGTTTCAGCGCACAAAGTAACTCTCGCCGCCAAAAAACGTGGGTTTGTTTCACAGCATGACGGCATCGCTGGGACTAGCGTAGGGGCGTTCGCACACGCCCGCGTCTCTCGTTGAAAAAATTTAAAAAAGATGCGAGACGAGATTGTCGAGACGACGAGGGACGAGGGCGCAAGCATCGTTGCGCACGAGGGGACGAGGGCGCGAAACGTGAAAAAATATGCAAGACCAGATGGACGATTGATGCAGGGTACATTGTGTCGGGCGGCTGCTTGCGCCACCTAGCTGACGTATGCGCAATTACGGTTCTCAGTTTAGTTTCGGTTCGGAAAGGCGACCGAAATTGCCCCTTTGGCGCAGGCTTGGCGCAGATTACCCATATTTTGGCAAAATGTAGCAGGATGTAGCAGGGTTAGCCCCTTGGCGCAGTTTGGCGCAATTGGCGCAGCAATCACATCACTGATATTAAGGGATTGACAAGTACTATGCAAACGGAGGTTTGATGGTCTAACAATGCTCGGCTTGTTTTCGAAAAGCTGTGAACTTCTGCAAGAACAAAGAGCACTGTAGGAGGGATGTTTTGGATTTGAAAATATTTTGTAAGCGAAATGCTGAAGTACTGCCTCCGTTTCTCGAGGGACATGTGATGCTTATCAGCATACAAACTCTTCACAGGAGATGTGTGAAATGCACCTGTAGAAAGTCGTAGTCCAAGGTGGGGTATTGGGTCAAGCATCTTATAAGCAGATGGCCGCACTGACCCATATACTACTGCACCATAGTCGAGGCGGGATCGAACTAGGGAGTTATACAGTTGCAGGAGACAGCACCTATCAGAACCCCACGACATATGCGACAGCACCTTTAGGATGCTTGGTGACATCAAGCATTTCCATTTTAAAGTGTTCAGATGGGGCAAAAAGGTAAGTTTCTTGTCAAAAACCACACCGAAAACATTTGTGTTCTTGCTGGACTGATATTTCAATGCAATTAAGATGCAAGGAAGGATCAAGAGACAATCCCTGGCGTAATGAAAAGGGAACGCAGACTGTTTTTTCAGGAGAAAATTTGAAGCCATTTTCGTCAGCCCACTTACACATTCTATTGATTGTAAGTTGCAACTGTCGTTCAGAACTGTAGAGGTTACAGGAAGACACAGAGATTTTCACATGATCCACATATAGAGAGTAAGTTACTCATGATGGCATAACCTCAGCTAGACTGTTAATCTTAACAGCAAAAAGGGTAACGCTCAGCACTCCTCCTTGAGGAACACCATTTTTTTTAGAGAAAACATCTGACAGTGTGGAGCCCAATCGGACTTGAAAAGTTCTGTCGCTGAGAAAGCTCTGTATGCACTGAAGCATGCGGCCCCGTACACCACAGTTGTACAAGTCACAAAATATTCCATACCTCCATGTGGTATCATATGCTTTGTGTAAATAAAAAAACACTGAGACACAATGCTGCCGGTGTACAAATGCCTCACGTATAGCGGTCTCTAGGCGAACCAAATGATCTGTGGTCGCTCGTCCCTCCCGAAAGCCGCACTGGTTTACATCAAAAAAATTCTCTGTCTCTAAGAAATGGACAAGACGACGATTCACAAGCCGCTTATAAGTCTTCCCTAAGCAACTTGTGAGTGCAATGGGACGATAGCTAGTATTAATGGAAGGGTCTTTCCCTGGTTTCAAGAAAGGGATTATGTAGGCATGTTTCCAGCAACGAGGAAAGGCAGCGGCTTGCCATAGATGATTAAAAAAAAGTTAACAGACCGTTCATAGATTCAGGGAACAGTTTCCTCAA